TAAATCCTTGGAGGATTAAACTTCAGCGTACTATGACCACATTATTCCTGAATGACAGAATGCACGTTTGAGAATGAATTTCCTTCAGTTTATTTATCTAACTTTGCAGAGTACTCTGCCTACTGTATAGGCAAGTTCAGAGTCCATTCATTCTTGTTTTACAAAATGCAATGGTTTTGTGTAGTAAATAAAAACAAAGTCTCTAATGGTACCCAAACATTGGAGGTACAGAGGAAATAATGATAATGCTGTGCAAAAGGCCACCCTGAATGGTAAAATAAAGGGTACCAGTGCTGCTTGCCACAGCATTCTCCCCTGCCACTATCCACTTGGCCACAAGGCAGGGCAGCAAGTGACTGAGGGGCTTCAACTTTCCTGAATGGCATCCAGGAGAAAATGTTGGAGAGAAATTGAAATATCAGACTGGGTGGCAGAACTGGGATCCTCAAGTAGGATTTATAGGTCGTTTGCGTAAGGATTAAAACAGAAGGTATATGAGCAGATGAGGGTCCCCAGAACAGATGTAGTGCAAGAGGAGGGAGCAATTTAGGACAGAGTCCTGTGAATGCATTTTCCATGTTACAAGGATAAATTAAAATCAAAGTGAAATGTTAGTACTGTACCCAATTTTCTGCATATGAGCTGTATAAGGGTATTCAAATGGGAAATGCTAACCCAAATATCACATTTCCAAGGCTAATGTGAAGACACAGAAATACTACAGGTACTCCCCATACTTACTGCTAAATTTATTTTAATTTTCTACAGTTTTTAAAAATAATTACAAAAACACAATCCCTTCCCCTTTCCCCTCCTACACCCTCCCACTTTGACTGCTTAGGTCAAAAGCAACTGCAAAAATCTTGTGGTTTTTAAATTAGCCACAGTTAAATCCTTCTAATTTGAAGGCTATTAAGTAATACAAGGTAGATGCATGTACAAATAATTTCTTAATCATTTCTTAATCATAATCATTTGCATTTTAACTCTCCCTAAGGCTTTGTTACTTGCCTGGAAACCCTGAGTTTGAAATGGTCAGAGCAAAGTAAAGTAAATGAATAGTTGCTAACAATATTACTAAAACATACCTTAAAGAGATAACCATTCTTGATTTTGTTTTGCATACTTTCAAATTCAGACATATAACCACACATAACTGCAAACCTGCAAAAAGCAACAAAACAGCGAGAATGAATTTATCATCAATTTAGTCCTATGACAAAGAATTATGTTATAAAATGTTTTTCTATTTATGACTTCCTCTGCTGCAACTGTATTTGAGATTTTTCTGTGCTCCCCTTTTTTAGATTCTAGTCCAGGGCAGGCAATTATTTAGGGCAGAAGGCTGCTTACCGAGTTTTGGCAAGCTGTTGAGGGCCACATTGGTAGCCCCGCCCCTTGACACATGCCCCAACTCCAGATGCCATCTTGTGACTAGAAGTCCTGCCCTCTAACCCCTGACCTTTGCCACCAGAAGTCCCGCCCTTTGCCCCCAGAAATACTCCTTTCACCAAGAGGTTTTCCCATCTTGGAACCAGAAAAATACCAAATTATATTCTAAAAAGTGAACATCTCCAGCATTCATTAATTTGGTTTCAAAAAATATTTTTGTCCTGATTTACATGTGTTTGTGCAGTGTACATAGAAGTGACTGCACAATAGCTTAAAATGAAGTCTTACTCTTGTATACTGTGGGGGGTGGTTATAGGTTTGTGGGGGGCTGTGAGTGTGTGGGGTGAGGGAGTATGTGGATATGTGTATGGATATGTGGGGTGTGGGTGGGTATGGGGTCTGTTGGGTGCTGGGTGCCTAGGGTGTGACAGGATGTGGGGGGTATGCGTGTATGGCAGTGCAAAGGGGGTGTGGGTGCATGTGTATGGTGGGGTGTGTGTGTGAGACTCAGCCTATGAACACACACATGCACTCTGCCCCTGTCCACACCCACACCATCCCTGCCTGCACACACACACACACACACACTATCCCTGCCTGCATATACACACACATGCACATGCGCATACACATACACACACCCCTGTACCAGCACGGCCCCATGCTCCCTGGTCAGTCGATGCAACCAGCAGCCACGTGGTGCTGGAGCAGGGCAGGAGCAGGAAGGGAGTGAAATGGCTGGGGGTGGGCAGGGCTGGGCTGTTCAGTCCTACTGAGGCTCCCCTTGGGTACTACTGCCCCTGGCTCTTGTCAGCTTTGACAGGCTGCCGGGGCAGATAAATATACATTTTCTAAATATTTTAGGAGTGCTGAGGGCCAGACAGAATGGCCTGGCAGGCCAGATCTGGCCCAAAGACTGTATTTTGCCTGCCCCTGTTCTAGTCAATACTTCAGGATTTTTCCTTTTCTTTTTACCTACTTTTTTATATATTTGTTAGTAACTTTAGTATCTGTATTATTCTTTCTTCAGTCAGTGTCCAAAGTTTCCTAAAACGTGCTCTCTTTTACATCAAACCAGACACAAGTTTGCTTTTGTTATTCCATTTAATAGTTCTAAGCCAAATCTTTTATGGTCTTCTATCATACTTCTCTAGTTTCTTAATGCATCTATAACTTGTGTTTACATGATTTTTCTTAGTATTGCTTTTATTTCACATAGAAATCATGCTCCTTTTAAAAACAAACTAACAGGCAAACTATTCATTGCATTTTGGTTTCCCTTGAGCCTTTTCCAATATAATTTGATGATCAGCTGTTGGAGGTAAGTAATATTTTAACCCTATGGCGTTCAGTTTCTAATGGAGGCACACATTTAGGCCCCAGATCTGGAATGTATGGCTCTATAAACCTAAGTAGCTTCACAGACTTCAACAGTATTGCTCACATACATAAAGTTAAGCATGCACATGAAGTGTTTGCAGGATCAAGGTCTCAGTTACAATTTGCCTCCAGTTGACAGATGTTTAAAATTATAAGAAATTACTAAGTAAGATTAAATTAATTATAAGAAATTTCTATGTACTTTAGAAGGTAATTTAGTATCATTCCTACAAAAATATTCCATTTTTAACTGGAAAAATATGCCATATTGGAAATATTTTAAATGATCACTCACACTTTCTCCTTCTCTCTCTCTCTCTGTAGGTTTCTATTTTCAAATATTTTTATCTTTAGACACTCAAATATTTATATCCCTTCATTTATGTGCATCTAGAACTTCAACAAAAGTGGAATCTTACATGCAAATCAAGGGGAAAATATCTGTAATCACCTGAATTTAACTAGCAAAAAAAGATCTCCTTAGAATACTGTATGAAAGTAATAAAGCAGTAGTATGGAAATAATTAAACAGGAAAAACCAATGCATATGTTTTTTCTTAATGAGGATTCACAGGAGTTTGAACTGTTACATCTTGTAAAGACGTCAATAAATCTGATTTCTAAAGTTGTTTAAAATAGAGAACAACCGAAAATCCTCATTAAATGTAAATACTAAAAAAATTATCCAAGTAAATGATATACAACATATCATATTATTGCTTATAAATATAGCAAGTACTTTTACTTTAAAAATCAACTATAAAAATCGTGATCGTTTTTAAATTCTTTTGATGAAAATGTTTCCTAGAAAGGCATTAAAGTGAGCATGTCAACTGCTGAACTTCTATAAGTCTGCAACTGTCAAACACCGTTGGATAGGATTTATTGTTGTGATCAATGAGCAGTGAAAAGAACGTCGCTAATCATGCTGATACTCCTGACAGTTAAAACACCAAGAGAGTGCATTGCATATGGGAAAGAGCTGATGGTGAGGAAAGAAGCTTGAAAGGTCAGGAAAGTTCAAGTATTGAAAAAGAGGGGGAATGTACTAAAAAAAAAACTTTGCTGGCATAAGTTGCTCAGATTCAGGCAACATTTCCCCTATTCCCTTTACTCATTTAGTGCTAATCAGATAAACTCAGCGTACCATAGTTAAACGGATTGCTGCTACAAAAGAAAACAATGAAAAGCGAACAAGCTAATCCAGCATATTGCAGCATTTCCTTCTCTGTGCGTGACAGGAAAAAAAGGCCTTAGCTTAAACCAGTTCAGAGCAATCCTTTCATTAATAGATAAATTAGTGGTGTAAAAAATAAACCCCAATAAAATAATCATACAGTGAAAAAACAAACAAGTCAACCTATTCATCTTAAAAGATATACTCTTTTAAATATGGGGATCTCTCTCATGCACTTGCTGCATTTTTCTGTTTTACATTTTAGAATTTGACTAAAAAAGTTCTGACAATTTAACTGAGGAGCATTAAAGCTGCATAGCATGTTAGACCATTGTTGGTGGGTGTTAGTGGACTACTGGCAGAATCAATACATTTCCAGAAATCAATGTATTTTTAAAGAGTCCAGATAACAAGTGAGAAAAAAAAGCTTAATCTGCAAATACTGTGTGGATTCACTGAACTAACACCCCTGGTTAGTTGCAGGGATATCTTAACAAAACCTTAGGGGTGCACCAATAGAGATTTTGGGGGCCAATACCTATAGCCGATTTTTAAGGAGGCATATCGGCCAATACTGATCCAATTGCCAATACCAGCCTGGCAGCTTGAAGAGCAGTGTCCAGCTGGTAAGCCTGTTGTGGTAGAAGGGGAGGAGGGAGGAAATGGGCGTTGTGGGGGACATAGATCAAGGCCCCCGCAGTAAGGGAGGAGTGGGGCTGGGGCAACTGCTGGCCAGCTAGGGTAGGGAGGGCATGGGATGGTGCCGCGGTTCATTCAGGGGGTGTGGGGGGGGCAGCTCCCACCACCGCTCATCCAGGAGCCATGTGTCTCATGGCTCCTGCTGCTGCTCTTGCTGCTCATCTCAGAGGGCATGGGTGGGGGGGAGTGTGCCCCTGGATCTGTGTGGGGTGGGGCAGGCTCTTCCCAGTGTGGGGCTGGGTTGCATTGCGCTCGGGGTGGGTGGCAGCGGTGCTGGGAGGGGGGT